GTCCCAACGCGACGTTATCCCAATCCCCCCCCCACCTTCCCTTCCTTCGTGTCTCGACCTCTCTCCTCCTCTCCTTCCTTCCCCCGACATCGTCCCAACTCTCCCTCCCTGATCCCGACCTCTCCCTCCTCTGTTCGCGTCTCCGATCCCGACCTCCCGGTCCAGACCTCCCATCCCGACCTCCCCGTCCCGACCTCTCCCTCTCTCCCCTTGCTCCCCCGACCTTGCCCCATGCCTAGATTCCTTCTTCCTCCTCCTCTATCCCAACTCCCATCCCGACCTCCTCCCATGCCTAGATTCCTCCTCCCTCCTCCTCTATCCCAACTCCCATCCCAACGTCATCGCGATCCCTTCCTCCTCCCTTTCCTTCCCCGTCCCAACCAGTCTCCCATCCCGACCTCCCGACCTGATCCGGACTCTCCCCCCCTCCCCTTCCTTCCCCCGACATCGTCCGAACTCTCCCTCACCCCTTTCCTTCTCCGACGTCGTCCCCCTTCCCTATCCCGACATTCTATCCCGACTCCCATCCCATCCGGACCTCATTCCGACCTCTTCCCCCCCCCACCTTCTCTTCCTTCCCGTCTCGACCTCTCTCCCCCTCTCCTTCCTTCCCCCGACATCGTCCCGACTCTCCCTCCCTGATCCCGAGCTGTCCCTCCTCTGTTCGCGTCTCCCATCCCGACCTCCCGGTCCCGACCTCCCATCCCGACCTCTCTCTCTCTCCCCTTGCTCCCCTGACCTTGCCCCCCGACCTTCTCCCATGCCTAGATTCTTCCTCCCTCCTCCTTTATCCCAACTCCCATCCCGATGTCATCGCGATCTCTTCCTCCTCCCTTTACCTCCCGACCTGATCCGGACTCTCCCCCCCTCTCCTTCCTTCCCCCGACGTCGTCCCAACTCTCCCTCCCCCCTTTCCTTCTCCGAGCTCGTCGTCCCCCTCCCCTATCCCGACATCGTCCCGAGCCATCTCCCATGCCTAGATTCCTCCTCCCTCCTCTATCCCGACTGGCATCCCATCCCGACCTCTTCCCGACCTCTTCCTTCTCCCTTTCCTTCCGTCTCCCATCCCGACCTCCCGACCTGATCCCGACCTGATCCCGACCTGATCCCGACCTCTCCCTCCTCCGTTCCCGTCTCCCATCCCGACCTCCCCGTCCCGACCTCTCCCCCTCTCCCCTTCCTCCCCTGACCTTGCCCTATGCCTAAATTCCTCCTCCCTCCTCCTCTATCCCAACTCCCATCCTGACCTTCTTCCATGCCTAGATTCCTCCTCCCTCCTCCTCTATCCCAACTCCCTTCCCATCCTGACCTCATCCCGACCTCTTCCTTCTCCCTTTCCTTCCTCGACTTCCTTCCCCCGACATCATCCCAACCCATCTCCCATCCTGACCTCCGGACCTGATCCCGACCTTTCCCTTCTCTGTTCCCATCCCCCATCCCAACCTCCCTGTCCCGACCTCTCCCACTCTCCCGTTCCTCCCCCGACCTTGCATGACAAAAAAAAAAAAAACCGGGAAAAAAAAGAAAAAACGATCAACTAACCTTCGTCCGCCATCTCCGCGCAACGTCCACGCAATTCCTCCCATGATCATCTCCTTCTTCTCCTCTCCTCCTGCGCACTCTTCTGACCTCGAGGGATGTCTGCACCTGCCAATCCCATGTTCCTCCTCCCCTCTTTCTCTCTTTCTCTTTCTCTCTCTTTCCCACTCTCTCACTCTCTCGTCGAACCGGATGTCTCTCTCTCTCTCCCGTCGAACCGAGCGCAGCAAGCACCACAGCGACCACGAAGCGCTGAAAACCGTCACGGCACGAAGTAGTGCACTATCACCGCACGAAGCAGCGCACGAACGGCGACAACCATTAAGATTGTCGAGCGGCTCGGGGCTGGACGGCCGGGTAGAAGTTTCGGGAATCATTGAGCGGCTCCGGGCTGGACGGCCAGGTAGAAGTTTGGGGAATCATCTGGCGTGGAGTTTTGGGAATCATCTGGTGTGGATCCCCGAAACCACTATCGGGCTGTCCAACCTGGGCCTCGCCGGTCCGGCCCGCCCGGAAGGCCTCATGCCGTGTCTGTTGGGCCTGCCTATCGGTCCCACCCTGTTTCCCAACAGTGGAAAGCGGCAGGCATCTCACGGGAGCGTTACAAAGAGACCCGCTATTTGCTTAACCTTAACAAGGGGGACCCGCGGTGGCTCTGCGTGCGGCGAAGAGGGGGGATGTGGGTGAAGAGGTCGG